GAGATCGGATGATAAGCTTTGTGTATTTTACACGTAAAATTGCATATCTCTCTGTCATGCATTTCCTCAAACGGCCAAATCCAGTCACACACAAATATATAATCTATCTAAGAACAACTATGCCAATGCACACGCGTATTCAGACAGAGTTTAATAGTAATGCTCAGAATGGCACAAACAGGTCACATGCGCTCCTCACTTGTAAATCCTCAAATTGTGATAAAGCGTCCACAGAGCAGAGCAGAGAGCCTTTGAAGCTGACGCTGCTGTTGTCGCCTGCTATAGCAGCACCATATGGCAAATAGCCTTGTCAAGCATGAGAGGCCAAACCCCCTGGGGCAGAGTTTGTACTCAGGCCCTACACTTTTTGAAAGGCCTCCCAGAATTCTGAGTGGCCTATAACTGTATAAGGTTTAAACATACACATACCCAGCAGAAAAACCCTGACATTCACTTTATTTCAGTCGCTATACTGGTCAACAGATGTGGCAGAGCGAGCGTCTCATCAGGCTTCATAACTGGTAAATGTCAGAAAGATGAATAGATGCACTGGAGCGGGACGCTATCCTAAAGACCTGGGATGCATTCCAGCTGAGCGGGCTAGAAAGAGGACAGCAGCGTTGATGTAACAGTGTCTGTTTAAGGCGGTCTGTGGCAACCCCCCCAAAAAAACCTGAAGGCTGAGAGAGGAGCCACACTGAAGGGAAGAGCTTAAGTGGCACCCTTGAGTGCTACAAGTCGAAATGTGGAGCAGACAGAGCAGCAGACCGTGGCTAACGTGCTGTTAAAGATCTCGCCGGGCTGCAGCAGGGAGCTGCACGCAGAGCACCCCGGGGTTCTCTCTCTGAGAGAAATAAAATTGTGAGCTTCCTCCTCACTGCTTCTAAAGATCAACTGACACGGCCGCGTCATCAGTGCCTTAGGAAACAGAAATACATTTGGAAAGCTTTACAGTGAAATGAGGCCTAATGTCTTGACTTACCCGTTCTTAGAAACTCACTGACTGGTTCACTGCCACGATTCTGGACTCTCAAAGGATTCCCAACAGTATTATCAACAGGTCTGATGGAATGATGGAGAACAGGGGCGGCACCAAGGGGGGACCAGAGGGGGCACTGGCCACCCCCTAAAATTTGATGCTCCTCAGTAGTAATAATGTAATAAGCTGGCATAGAAGCTGGTGCCAATCCCTGGACAGATCAATGGTGCATCTCAGGGCCAACATAGAGATAGGCAACAGTTCACACTCTTACATGCTCTAATACTTATTGGTCTTCCCTGTCTTTACATTCTGGCAGAGTGAATCTTAAGCTGCTTCCACTCCCCCCACCAAAACAACAACAACAACAACAACACACTTCAAACATACTGTCCTGTATAGTTTACATGAATCGTGCACCAAACTTGCAGTCTGTATTATCTGCAGTTCAAGCATGCACGGAAAGTCTAAAAATAACATCTGTTCATTAAGTATGACATCGGGTTTCTTTTCCACATCAGTACTAATGAATGCAACCCTCAAAAAGTCGTTGTTTGCTTTTTCCTTCTGAGGTTCCAATAAATGCTTAACACCCATTCACAGATGATAAAACAATCTGTGATTTCAGTGAGTCGTAACGAGTTACAGCACAATCTGCTGAAAATCAAAGTGGGCCTGCCACTGCGATCTGTTTCTCATAGCAAGTTTCAGGTCTGCAAGCTCATTATCATACTGCAGTGACATGCAGAGAAACCACTTGCCCTGAATGTAGATGGGGAAAAAACCCTATTTAAAACATTAAGCAAGGTTAAAAGTTAAAAGTACAGCATGTCATATTGGTCAGCATAACACATTTCTCTCTTACAGATGAAAACTTGAATTTGTAAATTATAAAATTTGACCTTATGTTGCACATTTACATACAGTCCAAAGACTGTATATTAAAGATGGAATTCACCCAGTGGTTTCCCTTTTTTTTGGTGGTAGTGGTGGTGGTGGGGGGAAACAGCAGTGACAAGGGATTCTGCATGCTCATATTGTATACTGCTTTATTTTCTATTTTACTCTTTATGTAATCATAAAACACAAAATTATGCATTAAAATACCTGTTTGTTAAGCCATTTAACACCAATCTGTGAATCATACAAGGTCAAGAAATTCAGGAGGCAAACCACTGTTGTGTTTTAGAATTGCAGACACCACAGAACTCTTCCTACAGGTGGTCAGGAGAAAGATTCAACAGCAAGCATCCACAGCTATCTGTAAAACACGTTGGAGGCTATATCATGGCTTGGGCTTCTTCTGTATTTGTATTTCCATGTATGTTTGCATGTTTCAATGAATCGCTGCATGTATCTCCCATTTTCTTAGGAAAATATAAAACAATACGGGGTGGTTCTGGACTTTTGCGCAGTACTGTAGATCAAGGGAGCTGAGGGTCATTTTCACGACTTCTCCACAGTTTGACATGTTGCGCCTGGCTGACTGAATGCAAGTTTAAGGCATTTCTGCAAGTGTTGTTTTTTTTTTACCTGTCGTTTATATACAGTCTTAGGTCTGAAATGTTTGCTATTTTTAGCACAAAAATAACATTTTAAAGAAAAGTTAAAGAACATAAAACACCATCAATCCATCTTCTTCGGCTTATTTAGTTCAGCATTGCAGCCTGTCCCAGCTGTCACAGGGTGAGAGGCAGGGTACAACCTGGACAGGTCACCAGCCTGTTGCAGGGCCACCTGAAACACCACAAACAAAGAAAAACGCCACGTGCCTTTGTCCTGTATTTGCTACTTCGTGCCACAAAGATAGCCTTTTATGGTAAAAAAAGTATAGACTGTATATAAAAGATGGGTGTAGCCACCGTTGCTTGTTTTGAAATCGAGCGTGACGCATGAGGGTTTGCTCTGCTGACAGGTCAAGACTAATGAGTGTTTGCACAGTGTCAATCACAGAGAAGCCAATCCCTAAAACATATCCAGCTTTGTGGTGCATTTTAGGATTGTGTTTAAAGGTCGTACATGAAGTGACAAATAGGTTTGTCAACCCCTTGTTAGAAAAATGCATCTTTGAGTCACTTCTGCATCTTTTAAAGATAGAAGCCATGGGCATCTTTTATAGGCAGTCTTTAGTTTTAAAACAAAACAAGAACACAATAAAACAACAAAATGCTATTTTTTTTGTTATAAGTCAGTCTGTGATGTGGGTTACTCAGCAGCAGGTTGAAAATACAGATACATACAGATATACACTTACTGCTGTTACCACCTACATTCTACTAAGTCTCTAACAACACGTAGGTGTTTCAACCTGCAACAATTTAGAAAATTTAAGTTCAGTTTTCTAATAAATTATTGAAACGAGCAGATCGATATCACCATCATGTGTTTTTTTTAGAGTGCTACTTCTCTATGTAACCAAAGCTGCTGCACCACATAAACTTTGCAAAATAAAGATGATTGTGGTTCTGATCAAACTCCTTGACAAACTTGTGGTGATCCAGTAGCAGCACATCCAACTATTTGTGTAGACGCGTTATGTCTTTAAATGAAGATAGAGCAGGGAAATGTGTATTAAAAATGTGGCTGTGTCACTCAATTCAGGAAATGCTTGCGTTCCTGCGGCACTGCTGCCATTTTCTATTTTTATTGTTGATGCAAGTTGACGCGACTGCACATGGAGGAACTTTGCATGCAAGGCTTTTCTGCCGCAGAGGCGCTGCAAGATGTGAAGCAGCAGGATGACTGTGGGCTTTTGCTAGCACCGGCAAGTTTTGTTGCCAACTCATTTTCATTCTTGGACTATTAGAGCAGCATTTCATTGTTTACTCTTCAAAATTGTCCTTGTTTATTTATTTATACTTTTTGCTGGGATTGGAGCATCACCTTAATCCAATCTGAAACAAGCTATGTCTTATGATTTGCTGCCCCTCGTAATCAGGTTTGAACAGTTGTGTGGGGATTGTCTTTTGTGCTTTTGGCTCACAGGGGCTACTCACAAACGGTAACCTCAGTTTTATGGGCCATATTTAATCTGAGTGCAGCCACTGTGTATGCCAGAAAAAAAAGCAAACGCATAGTAAGTCTGCTTTGTACAAGTGGTCATTGCTCTTGTTCAGACTTCTATACTTGAGTGAATTTCTGAGGCGACAACAACAACAACAACAACAACAACAACTTGTGTTCCTGTGGAATTTCAAACACAGAAGAACACACTACAAAATTTTGCATTTTTTAATAATTGCATTTTATTAATTGAAAACAAAAACAAAAAACAAAAAAAAATGCAAATTGAAAAAGGAAAAAAAAAAAAAAAAGGCAAAAACCAAAACAACATGATTAGGTAAGACAAGCAGAGACACTTAAATAAGAAGAGTTCCATGTTTGTGAGGGGAAAGGTGAAGGTGGGTTGATGCGGGAGGAAGGTGGAGGAAAGGTGTTGCTGAATAGGACATCTTGGATTATGTACACTGTCTCGCTGCAGGACTGGCAGGCCCCAAAAAGAGAGGGTGGGGCAGGAGGGGGTTGGGGGCTCAAAATAGCAGGTCGGAGACACTGAAACACCAGAGAGAAAGGCACTATCCAGAGAACAAGAAAACAGAAACCAGTTATACAAACACGGTAAACATGCACGCACACACGCACACAGGACCAGACATGAAATTAAAATGACAACACCGTGCTTACTGCAGCACAACTTTGAACGAAGAAAACAAACAAAAGACCAAAACAAAATCTTTTACATCGTTTACAGATGATCTCTCAAATTGAAGCAGAAAAGACAATCTCAGGTTTCTGAACTGCTGATCTGTGCCAGCTGCAGATCTACACTGGTGATTATTACACAACGTGATTATCCGAACTCAGCCTCTACGCTACGTGCATGTATTACAAGGAGGAGAGTGTCTGCATATGCATGCATGAAATGAATGTGTTTGAATGTGTTAACTGCCTCCACATATCCTCATTCACCAGTCTCTTCACAAATAAACACTAATTTCTTTTTATTTTTGCTGTTTTTTTCCCCTCTCTCTACAAGTCTTAAAATCCCTTGCGTGGTTGTGAAATTCAGTTCTCCGACCTAGCTTCCCTCATGTTTGTGTCTATAGACTCGGTCAGCTACATTCACTGCCCTGGTAAAAAAGAAAAATGGCTGCAATAAATATATTGGCTTTCGGAAAGGTTGCTGACCTTTATGTACAGGGCTCTGTGTGACAGCTCTTGCAGCATTCATGGCTCTGCTATGCTGGTCAACATCAGCTTCCTGACAGGACTTCTTCAGAGAATCGACTTTACTTTCTCTGCGTTACAGACAAAAACATTTTTCAAATGGAACTTGTGACCCTTTAAATGTCATGTGGTTTTATCTGAGAGCCCTCAGATAATGTAAAGGTTAAAAAAAACGAAACAAAATTGACAATTCATCACATTCTAGAGCTACTAGGTCTTATTCAGACTGACAGAAGATTGAACATAATTTACAAATGGAAAAAACCCCAAAACAATTTGTGATGAGAGGTAAAACAGACAAACACATACAAATATATAATATATATTCTTAAAAAAATGACTTCTCTCTATAATTGATTTATTTATGCAGCCTGAGGCTGATGTACAATTCTCTGCCAATGATCTTAAACATGGAGACTTTATGTATTGTTGATGCAATCATCTTTTCCTCTTCTTTTTGTACATTTCTAAAACAGTTTCTTCTTATTTTTTTTTTAAATTTTATATATTTTTATGTATTTTCTTTTCTTTAAAACAGAGTTAGGATTCATCAGTAGGCTCTTCGTTCAGTTGATTAAAACAAAAAGTGGCAAAGAAAGCAGAACAAAAGAAAGGCAGACTGTTAGGAAGTTAAGGAGGAGACAGAAGCAGCTGTGGGAGCGGTTGAATCATTTGGTTATCTTCACGGTTGAAGCAGGACGCTAATGTATGCTGCATCTAGATTTCCCTCAAAGACAGTTCGGTCCTCGCTGAGGCGTTCACTGTGAACATTCTCAGCACATATAAAAGTTGATTTTTTTGCTCAGCTGTCACCCACACAGCGTCGCCCACGACAGCGTTGCTCCTGTCATTTTTATTCTGTCTTTCAGTTGTTTGCGTTCTCTTTGCTCCCGTTATCGTGGGATGGCCGAGAGAGAGGTGGGAAGGGGGTTGGGTTTGGGAAGGGTGGGGTTCAGATGAGATCGAAAACGATGATGATGGTGGTGGTGGTGATGGTTGCTGTTGTGGTGGTGGTTGTTGTTGTTTACATGGTCTGACTGTTTACATGTTCTGACTGACAGGCGTGACGTAGTTGCGAGGGAACATGCCCGTTTGGCCGTGGCAGCCTCCTTTCCACCAGTTGGGGTCAGAGTTGTCCAGGACTTGAATGAAGTCGCCGCGTCGGAAACCCAACTCGCCTTCCTCCTGGGGGTCAAAGTCAAAGAGCGCCTGCACATATGTGGGATTCTGCGGGATCGAAAGATGATGGTTAGCAAAACTGCAGCAACGGGGATGCAATGAAACTAAAGAAAAACACTGGAATCCACACTGACTCAACTGTAAACGAGACAAAATTCATGTTCTGAGCACCCTACACCCTAACGCCACAATAACAGACAATAGCCATGACTACAACGAATTAAATCAATTCTGTGCAGCTTCAAAAATCGGCAGTTTCCTTCATTTCATTTTCTGCTTTGTGATCTTTATGAAACCTCTGCAGTCTGCAGCTTTTGCTCACACACACTTGCTACCTCACTATGTCCTCTCCCACTACCTGCCTCTGACACCCACAGATACACTTGACTCTGTCAGTCTCTCTCTTCCTCTGGTTTACCTGCAACTTCTTCTCATCTTTTTAAGTTTGACTCATGTTTCCTCTTCATCCTCTGTGCAACTAACCCTGCAACATGTCCCTCAGTCTGCAGCTTTACCGCATCTAACACCACTACAAAACCACTACTGCTAGTTCAAGGTGACATCAAGATTCAATCCGAGCGTCCAAACACAGCTGCACGTTAACATGCAGGGTTGTCAGAGAAGAGATCACGTGTTACAGAAATAGTTGCTAGATTTTCATCTGACGTCTGGCTGCCATCTATGGTTTTTATACTGACACATTAGCCAAGAGTTCTTTAATAGCTTCAGAAGAGTATCATCTCCTCTAGCTGAAAATGCAACTGCAATTCTCAAATAATCAGCTGCTCCTTTCTAAACCTTGTTCATAACCAATTTGGAATCCAGGACAGCAGGTCACCTGTGGACATTTTTAATCAACCTTCTGCCACAACACTGACAGCTGTGTTTGTACATATTCTCCAGTGAAAGAACAACATAACACAGTGTGATCAGGCAAATCGTGCATCTGCATTACTCATCTCCAAAATATTAATGCAAATGATCTAAGCAAAAACATGTCCTCAGAATACGCACATACAAATTTGAGGGACAGTTTTCCATTCTGCTTCAACATAACATTTCAGTTTTACTCATATACCTTTATACAGTCAGAAATTCAAAGCAACTACCTCCACTCACACATGTGCACTGCATGATGTGCAAGTGAAAATGAAAAGTGCACAACTACATATTGGTCTTAATGGTTCTGCCCTCATGTGCGGTCCTTTTAAATCCGAACACTAAGATGCGAAACGCATGTCTGTGTCTAGAAAAATCTACGTACAGTAGTCTGTCAAAGACACTGCACCGCGTGTTTTTTTTTTAGCGTTTTCTGCACCTTGTGCCACTGTGGTTTCAATCCTTTTTTGGGGGGGAGGGGGGAAGAAAAAGACTTCCAACCCACAGCTCATTTCGCTATGTGCGTGTCATGTCTTACCTGGGGGACCTGCTCTATATCTCGAAGAAAGATCTGCTGATTGCGGGAGACTGAGTTCAAGCGGTGGTATTCCACCAAGTCATTGAGGGAGTTAAACTTCACCACCCATAGGAAATACTTTCCAGCTCCGTCACGAAGAACCTTGAAGTGCTGGACATCATTTCCAAACCTAGAGAAGGTCACAGAGGGGACAGTAAGCGACAACTTCTGACAGAAGTACCTAGATGCCCTGAAGGCAGTGCAAATTACACATACAAACCACCACTTATCAAATAGGGATGTCTGACAGCCTTGTAAGTATTAGTCAAATGAATCAACATGCTGGTAACAGATTGGCATTTGTTCCAAAGCAACTAACTGGAATCAGAACAGTTCAGACAGTAATTAAGATCCATATCTTGGCATCAAACTTTACATGTCGCCTACTGTTCTTTCCAGAAGGACAGAATGAACAAAGACAGACAGGAGGAAATGTGTGTGTGTGTGTCGGCTGTAAAGTTAAGAACACTGAAGGCTCCGGTCCAACATGGCAAACACTGGCCACTGGAGGGCATCACTGAGACTTCACCAGAATAGGGAAGTGGCTTTGTTGATGACTCAAACATGCCAAATATGGAAACTTAGGAACCTGATCAAATGTCAGGAAACCATGTGCTGATATAATGATAATAGTAAACTGTATTTATAGATAACCAAGTGTGATACTAGTTGTTTCTATGTGATACTCACTTCACAGACAGAGAGAAATCCCCCGGTGCACTCTCGCTCTCTCTGATGAGGAAAGCGCCATCGTGCCTCTGTTTGTTTAGCATCTCCTCTGCTTTGGCACGGGGAATCTTCCCAAAGAACCACCTGGAGAGCAGAGAGGACTCAGTGTCACATGACCGATGATACAAAACACCAAGCTCTCCCAAAGGTGGCAGGCTTCAAGCCCAGTTATACAAGGAACAAAATATGACTGAGACTACATCCATAGAAAACAAACAAATAACAAAAAAAAAGCAACTTTTACTTTGTTTTTACCATAAACAACATCCTACTGAGTCACTTTGAACCCAGTCTGTGGAATTTGGCTACACAAGTCTTTCCTTTTAAGAAATGACTAAAAAACATGTTTCTGCAAGCTTAGGTTTAACACACACCGTTATTTATAGAAAGTTATTTATAAATCTGTATTGTAGGTCCCTTTTAAAACCTTATCTGATAACCTTTTACAGTAATATTGCGCAACCTCACTTGACTTTTACATCTACTAAGCCAAAAGCGGTGTTTTACGAATACACAACTGAAGTAAGGGGAATGTTACGAGCACTTGTCAGTCCTATCTTCAAGAAAGGAAAGTGATCTCCATATTAAAATTAAATAGGTTCTGTTAATGATAAAAGGGTCTCGTAGACTTTCGTAATCTTTCTAAAAACCACACATGAAGAGCAATGAAAACACAGCTTGACCTCAACTCTCACATTGGCTTAGAAATGAGTGACTCAATCTGAGGTTTTGAGATGTGTTTATTAGGTTTTAAAGTGCACTCTTTTCTTTTTACACACTTGAACACAGGACAATGCTGGGATAATTATTTCCAGTAGTCATTTCTAAAATATAGCAAATCTGTTTACTAGTGAAAATAATGTTTGGTTAGAGAAGCTGGGTACAGCACTTACTGCCCGCTACTGTGTTCTATGCAAATTTATTAGACTATTAGCTTATCTAGCCCTACACAGATTCTGTACTAACAAGCTTGCAGGGTTAAGTCTGTTTAGGGCCCAGGTTGACTGAGTGGGACAGGCTGAGAAACGTTCAGCGCTGCAGTGCTTCTGTTGTGAGTGAAAGCAGCTTAATATATCACAGTAAGTGAGATTTATAAAGACTGGCAGAGAGAGGAAGAGAAAAATGAGAGACAAAGCAAGTGAAGGCTTTTTGCTTGTGTAAATAATTAAAAAGTATAGCCAGCCCAAAGACGAAATCTTGGCTCCTTTACACATCGGTGAAGATCAATAATGTAATGGCCAACTCTTAATCTGCTTTGTATCAGGCTTGGCAGGACAGAGCGCCTGTGCAGAGTCCCTTTCCCTATTTGATAAAAGTAATAGCAGAGCAATTACTGGAGCCAAGAAAACAGAAGCACTGGCATCAGAAACACGTCCACCTCTGTGAGAGGGAATTATTGAAACCATTTGTGTTCTTATTACATAACCGCATGGATAACCCACAAAACATCATTACTACTGGTAAGAGAAACAGAAATGCTCTTCTGCGAACTGCTGTACAGCACAGCTGTGTGTGCAGTTCTGTTGGGGAGTGCGAGTGCCTGGTGCTTTGGCTCTTTATTTTCAAAACAAAGAAAACTCGATATCAGTGCTGTCACTACCATTTCTACTTCACTACAGTATTGAATAGTTCCATCTGTAAACATTACAGTAAATATACAACCTGGCTGTCTTTCTCAGTGAACATCTGACTTGTGCCGAGTTGAAAGTGAGAAGTACGTACAACTTAGTAAGCTTGTCATGTTGACATTTACGGAAAGCAACTGGGGAACAAATTCAGCAGTTTTTAGGTTCAGATGGCAGCAGATTAACTGTGTCTGAGAGGGCCTGCACAATATCTGCTCACAGCATGCTCATTATGAAGCAGATAAGGAAACATGTTTTTAAACAGGAAAAAAAAAAAAAGGTTTTGGCCACACTGTTGAGAACCATCATACAATTATAAGTATTGTTGACGGACTGAAGTACTACAGATGATGCATGAAGCCCAGCTGAAAATCGATTCCCCATAACAATAATAAAATTCTGCAAACACTTTAGTATTGTTGTTAAATCTGTACAAATGATAGGCAAACACACACTAAAGAAAAGGCTGATCAATAAGATCTCCTTTGAAAGGCACATCTGATAGCAATGCTGCAGTAGGTCAATATTCAATTAACTGTAAGAGGTAAGAGGCCTTGAGCACGTTAATAAAGAGAGAGCTAATTTGGCACTAAGCACAGGTCCAGAGGTAATTGTCCTCTTGAGGATCAAGCCAGGAGTGATCTCAAGGGCTCTCTCTTACCCTCACACTCGGTCAAGTCTGCTCAGGTTGCATATCACTGAACAAAAGCTCCCCTGTTCACGCTTCAAAAAAATCAGTTAATATGTCCAATTTAATGATTTGCTATGAAAGAGTACAGATGCATAAGTGACAATACTTACGGATGGGGTTTCATCTGTATGTAATTCTTGGGGATGAAGCCTTCTCTTCCATCCTGCTCTGCCTTGTACCAGTTTTGATCACACTCTTCATTTAATACCTGGTGTTGGAAAAGAAAAGAAACCCCAAAACAAAACAGAGAGGTCATTCAAGTTAAAATGTCAACAAATGAAAAGCAAACATAAATTGAGCCTTACGGCAACTGGTTTAATTTCCTGTTATGTCAAGGTGGTGATTGTACTGCATACTAGAGAAGCTTTTGGTAAATATTAGCAAAGTACAAAAACACTGAGGCAAAAGCAGCCTGCAGCTTAAATCAAATGTAGCTTCAACCATAGATTTAAGCTGGCAAAAGAACAATAAATGTGTCCTAAACTTTAAAGCTATAGAAACTAACAAGCCAGTAATATCAGAGAGACACAAGACAGCTGTGAGGCCATTCAAGTCTGACAAGACAGAACCACAGTGCAGGTGTGCTGGGCTTGTGGTTCAACCATGTGTGTCACAATTTAATGTGCCTCTAAATGAATGCGTGTGAGGGAGGTCATGCAAGAGAAGAGGGGAAGAAAAAACAAAAAAAAAACAAAAAAAAAAAACAACAACAACCAAAAAATAGTATTTGGGCATTTCCCAATGTTAACCCCAAATCTTAATCTAAATGAATGTCACGTCACTTGATCCATTATTATTATTATTATTAGTCAATTACAGAGCCTACCAGAAGTTTCATATATTTCTTGTCTCCGATTCAGTGCGATGGGAGTATAATGGTAGATAATGACTGCATCATGCTCGCCCTGACATGCTTTAAATGTGCTCAGATGAGAAACAGTTTCCTGCCGAGTAGGGAGGAGGGGTTGTAGGTGTTTCACAAATATTAGGAACATAACTGATGACAAATCTAACTGCAAAGACAGAGAACATCCTAATTTTCAGAAGCTACTTCAGAAAATACCTGTGACAGCATGTTGACAATTGCGCAACGATAGTGTGGCTTTTAACACAAGTTTTTTCGGTTTGTAACCCTGATTTCTGTGGGCAGAATCTGTCTCCATGATGTGTGTGTGAGGAGCACGCTATAGAATGCTACTGAACGATCCCCTGTGTTACGTTGCCTAACTGTGTTTGTACTCCATTCTCAGCAGCACAACGTGTTACTCTGAGATCATCACACTCACATCTGTGCCATTCTAAACAACAGCAGGCAGGAACAAAAATTACTCTCAGAGAAGGGAGATGTAAATAAGGAATGCTCAAGAACTTTAAATCTCAGTGTTGCAGCCAAATATTAGTACTGGCCAATAATAGCATGTTGACTGAGATCGGCATATCAGCAGATAAGATGGCATTCCGAGATATCAGTGGCAGATATTGGCATGTTGCATAATTCTGCCCTCGCTAAATGGTCAACTGTGGGATGAAGAGCTGAGAAATTTGAAAAGGGATTCTTTGTTTCCCTGACACAAAGAGGAAAACTTATTTTAAAGCTAAGAATTTTGATGCTCCCCTACCAAACCTTCTTTACCACTCACCACTTGACTGAAACCGACAATTATAGAGATCTGTGAATAGCATAAAATACTGAGCATCAGATGCCCTGTAAAATAGACCCCAATAGTTGGGTCTCAATATCCTTGTGGAAAAGCCTTCACTGATAATTTAGCTTCAAATATATAAGTTGAAGAATTACACTACATCCCTCCTTAAAGTTAATTATGCATTACATAACATTGGTACCATGTTTATGCTTTCAAGCAGCATCTTGACATGTAGATTTGAAGGAAACTAAGCTCTAGCTTACAGTCACATAGCTTTTATGTGAATGACAACACAAAAAGGATTCAAATCCTATCCAAGAATGACTTATGCCCAGCACCAGCAGTGTATAAAGCCTGAAATGAAATAAATATGTGACACACATGTTACACAACCAAGCTGTCATTTGTTTGATTCTTTAAGAAGCTTTTAAGTAAAGCAGTACTGGCATTAAGCTCCACTCTGTCATCCAGTCAGAAATCTGAGTTGAAGGACGGTTCAGTTCTGAGCGAGTAACGTCTGCTAAAATCCCCCCACCATCTTGGATCAGACTTTCTTTGCATAATTTGGAGAAAATATTTTTAGCTAGAGTATGCACCCCATCCCTAATGCAGCATCACACATCAACGTGCCCCTCTATTATAGTCACATTTTCCCACTTTGCTGGCCCCCCTCCCCTCCACTTAAATTCACAATTTACCCTTTGCCCATCCCCAGACAGCTGTCTTGTTGGCCCAGTGAGTGATGTGGGTCTATTTGCCTGCAGAATGCCAGCTGTCCCTCAACTCCCCAGCTGCTAACCCTGCACAAGACCAGCATTACTCAATGAGGGAGCGGCTTTAGAGAGTGAGGGGAAAAAAGAAAATGCAATGAAGTGTGGGAAGGTAGATGTGTCCATATTCGCATGTGCAACAGTGGATACAGGGAGAACTGTAGTACAATGAAGTACAAGAAAGAGTGACTGTGTTTTCCCTAGTGAATGTAGCACTGTCAGAGCTACACAAGTCAAAGGGCCTTAGCCTCTGGGATGGATGCAAGCACACAAAACTGGCCTTTTAAGAACAAGCCTTTAGAAAGACAGACTACCCAGACTAATACTGTGTGGCATCATTCAGTTCTCTGCAAACACAAAGCTGAATAGTTACTGCAAGTGGAGCATAACAAGACAAGACAAAAAGGTGTTTAATCTGGTGGTAGGCTGTATGAGATTTTATAGCTTCTAATACAAGTTTTTCCAGGTCATCCTAGGTCTACAGAAAAATTCAGATCATAAATGTAAGACTAAATCCGAGAACAATATCCCAGTACATTTTATGGTAGGGAAAGTTTTTCCTGAATCACAAAACTTTATGATAGCAATGAAAAGAAGTGAGGGTGGGGGTCAAATCAACAGAGCAGATCTGGGGAGCACACATTCATGCTTCCTAAATAATTGATCACAAGTTACTGCATGGCCCAGACTATTGGATCAACTGACAGAAATTTGTAGAGCAACACTAGCAGACTAATATGCAGAAATCAAACCATTAACTGTATCACTAACAGCCAGGCCATGCTCAACTGAAACACCGTCAGTAAGAGAAGATTTAATGAAAAAGTCAAAAGCAAAGACTGATTATTACCCATGATATCTTTGAGATATTGGGAACGCCAAGTCAGTTTTGTAATACACACACTCCATATACTGTACATGGTCGCATAAATTGTTGACTCACAGGGTGGATCATTTTGAGACAGAAACAGCGCCCTGGGCGCACAATCATGAGCAACATGTGATGGCGCGAGTGACTGATTTGCCTGATCTATGTATGATGAAGTAGAACTCATCCAAGAAATCAGCATACAGTGTGCACCCTGTGGTTTCAGCAGTGCTGCGTATGAGGTAGAGGTGGCAAGAAATCTTAGTTGTCTTCTTCCCATCTACTAAAAACAAACATTAAAGCAACAAATACTGTAGGAGTACAAAATGTGCTCTTGCTCTCTAGTGTAGGATGAAGAGTTGCCAACAAGTAAGAAAGGCAATGATTCATCTTCATGACCCAGGCTCAAGCCCACTTGTTGGCAAGCAGGCACTCTGCTGAAGCACCCTTCAACCCAAAGCAGCATCAGTCGTGCTGTTCAAGTCACCCTCCACTCTGACCCCCCCTCAAGGAAAAAAACGTTCTCAGCTCGATTAATTGTTGCATGTAGATTCATATGAGCAAAGGAGACTGAATGTGCAACTGAAAATGAAACTTGAAATAGCATTTTTCATTTCATTTTCAGCTAGGTTACAAGATCACATTAGATTCAGACATTAGAAACAATGGAGCCCCTTCACAATCAAATGCAGTAAAGTGTAGAGTAGGTTACAAATATATTTACCGGAATTAAAGTTTGTCACTTGTGAATCATGTCTCTTTTCTATCACTGTAGAGACTACTGTCTGCTAGACGCCGCAACATGCCATTAGGCCTCCTGAACTCAAACTTAGAAAAAAAAAAGTCTAGTCCATGACTAAAGTTAATAACAGAGCACTGAGGTTGCTGCATTATACTGTATGCTTTAGTTTTTTCTTATACCTGTGGGAAAATAGTTAAACAGGTAACAGTTAAAAATGCATTCAAATCTTAAAAACAATTTAAATTATCTCCAATGTTCAAGCAGCATGTCCCCGAGTCATAGAAAAACAGTCTGAGATGCTTTTAAACTTTTTAAGCAAGGAAGTAAAATCATCTCACGTACCCTGAAGATGTGCTCTACTTTGTTAAAATTATAGGACCTCCAGCCACAAAGTTACCATGGTGAATGTTTAAAGAGGGAACTAAAATGGTCAAAAAACTATTTATTAGTGGTTTCCATTTGAATGCTTCTGGGTTGGCTTTCAAAACTGAAAGAATGGCAGTCCACGAGGAAAAGCAGAAATAAAATATTTGCAAGGTTGGCAGTTTTTTTTGAAACCATAGAGGAGACAACCACAGCATTCTGTCTGACTGTGCTTTTTTCCTGTCCAAGCTGAGCAACTATTGTGCCATTGCATTTCTGTGGATGATACACTTTCCCTCCCCTTCTCTGAAGTTTTTTTTTTTTTTCCTTTGTAATCCGATTGAACCACAATAGTTGTATGAGTTTCTATTTGAGACGCAGGCAGGGGATTATCTCCTCCACAGCTGCCACTATAGACTCCCTCCTCCCCCAGCTCTTTCCATCACACATTCTAAAATAATATACAACTTCCACCCACAAATTTAGTGCACACTATAGATGGATAAATGTCATGGCAGTCCTCAACTATTAATTTAGCATGTGTGTATAAAATAAAATGTACAATACAGTGAATAAATCCATGTCATAACGAGGGTTGCTGTGTTTCAATGCCCTTTATCTTCAGAGCCCAGTCATCTTTACAGAGGACGTGTATTTAGACTAATGTACAGAAAATGATGCCACATAACAGGATTTCTTCACTTATGCATAATTAAAAAGAGCTGATGTTTTAAAAATAATCTGCCCTGCAGCTGCCAATGATTAAAAAAAACAAACAAAAAAACAACATAAAAATGTCAATGTACAAAAGGGGAAATG